TGCTCACACCTGCAGAGTCATCTCACCAGCATAACCAATCCACCCTGAAATGCAGGCTCTTTTGTACAAAAAGGGGGATCTTTTCTTCCACTAGATCCTATCTTTTACTGATAAACCCTTTGGATGAGAAAACCAGCAGCAGATGTGAAAGCCACATGGCTCCCTACAAAGCAGGAGAGCAAAAAGCAAGGTTAAAAGAAATAATTCCCTCCACAGCAGCTCACAATCAAGAATAAAGATTTTATCATCAAGCGCTGACTTTGTGCAAAGCTATTAGACCCTGTGCTAAGCATCAGGCTGAAATCCAGGAGTTGGACTCATTTAGCTACAATCTCGTTTTCAGTTTTTGGGAACAAGGCCAATGTGTAAAGTTAGAATAGAACAAATTCAATTTCCAAGGGGGTAAAGACACAATATAGGTACTCTTAGCACAACTGACGGGCTCTGAGCACAGCTGACACTCTGGTGCACGTTTCTGGTTTGTTTTCTGGTTTTTAGTGAATTTTACCCTTTAACTTCCACCATTTCCTACACTCTGTATTAAAAATATTTGCCAACACTCCAACTTAAGTAATACTATGGCAATCAGGAACACTGAAAATCTTTTCAAGCTCACACTTCAGTAGAAAAATAACTGTACGTAAAATGGTTCATGAAGAAATAATGCTAACGCAAGGAAGATGATATAAATTGGCCAAGACCATGTGCTTTCACTCAACTGTGACAGAGGCTGAAACACTAGAGTCTAACAGGGTCACAGCTGTACCCCTCCCAGGCTGCACTTCACATCTGTGGTGGTGCTCAGGACTGCACAGCTCCTCCACCAGTCGCTCTCACTGAATTCGGTATCTTTGAGAACAGATACACTTCTAAAATGCATGACACAATATAGGGAAGTAAACAGACACTGCTAAACCAGCTCCTTTTTTGGCAGATATGGAGAATGGATACTCCAGTGTCCTCTAGAGAACACAGCTGTCCATCTATCAAAAACCAAACAGCAGCCATCACACACACATCTACGAAAAATCAATGAAAATCTATAAAGGCAATTCACTCCGTTAACAGGATGAAGGACAAAAACCAAATGATCACACTAATAGATGCAGAAAAAGCATTTGAAGAAACTGAACATTCTTTCCTGATTAAAAAAAAAAACTTAAATTAGAAACCGAAGGAATATAAAACATAATAAAGGACATATGTGACAAACCCACAGCTAACACCACACTGAAGAAAAACTGAACATTCTTCCTCTAAGCTCAGAAACAAGACAAGGATGCCCAGCCTTGCCACTTGATAATACAGTATTAAGTCCGAGCCAGAGCAATGGGCAAGAGAGACAAGACACAAAACACCTGTTTTACGACAAACCAACATGCATCCCTATGTTCATTGCAGCACAATCAGTAATTGCAAAAACATGGAAGCAACCGAAATGCCCATCAGCAGAAGATTGGATAAGAAAGCTTTGGTTCATCTACTCCATGGAATACTACTCAGCTATTAAAAAAAACAAAATGCAGTTCTTTGTGGCTAAATGGGCACAACTGGAAACTATAATGCTAAGGGAAATGAGTGAATCCCAAAAGATTAGATACCACATGTTTGCCTTGATTTAACCTGTAATTTTTGTATGGTTGTTTGTTATTTTTTGAACCTGTCATTGATACTGTCTCAACCCAGATGTTTCGAAGAATGGAACTTGCATTATTTTTATCATATTGTTTACCCAATACTATGTCAATTAATTCCATAATGTTGTATATTGATACTGAGGCCTTGTTGGGGCTTTTAACTGACCGGATCTTTACTCTGTTAGACCTATCTTCAGACCATAGAAGGTCTCCCCAAGAGGCCACTGAACTTATCTGGACAATAAGACGCTGAACTTTATGCTAGGCATGTGTTTGCAAGCAATGAATCTCAACTGAACTTGAACTATGATTATGCAACAAGGTGGAGGAATCCACCATGGGGGGAGGGGTATGGGAGGGGTGGGGGGAATCCCCAGCGCCTATAAAACTGTACTACATAATACAATGTAAGCAACAATAAAAAAAAAAAAGAAACGAAAGAGTTAAATGATTCCTGTTTGCAGACAACATGATCTTACATAAAAAATCCCTGAAAACACTGTTACAATAAATGAATTCAATAAAGTTGCAGGACACAGAATCAACCTAAAGTCAGTAGCATTTGTATATGCTAAAAATGACCTAATATACAAAGCAATCTTATCACAACACATACAAACATAAAACACTAATAAGCTCAATTGAGGAGGTGAATGACCAGAACAATGAAAACTATAAAATACTGTGAAAGAAAATGAACGCAACAATTAATGGAAAGACAATCTGCATTAAAACACTGGAAAAATACTGTTAAAATTATCCATAATATCCAAACTGATCTAAAGATTCAATATAATCCATATGAAAATTCCACAGAAATACAAACAACAATATAAAAGTTCATGTGGAAGCATCAAGGATCAACAGCCAAAGAAAACATGAACAAGAACAATGCGGGGGCTACTATGCCACTGAACTTCAAAATCTACTACACAGCTAGAGTAAAACAAGCATGGTACTGACATAAAAACAGACGCACTAATCAATGGAATAGAATACAGTTCTAAAATAAACTCAGGCATTTATGGTCAGTTAACTTTTGACAAAGGTGTCAAGGATACACCATAAGGCAAAGAGCCCCAGGACACCAGTCTAGGCAATGATTTCTTTGGACATGATCCCAAAAGAACAGGCAACAAAAGCAAAATAGACAAATGGTATTACATTAAACTAAAAACCTTCTGCCTAGCAAAGATAATAATCAACAGAGAAAATATCTGCTAACCACACACATGATAGAGTTAATATCCAAAATACATAAGGAACTCAATAGGAAGACAACAAATAATTTAGTTAAAAACAAAGCAGAGGCCACCGTTGTGGCTGTGGGGTCAGCCACTGCCTGTGATGCTGGTTCAAGTCCCAGCTGTTTGACTTTAGATCCAGCAGTAGAAGATGGCCCAAGTCCCTGGGCCTCTGCACTCACATACAAGACCCAGATGAAGACAATGGCTTTGGTCTGGTCTAGCCCCAGCTGTTATGGCCAGTTGGACAGTGAACCAGCACATGGAAAAATCTCTCTCTGTCCCCCATCCCCAACTCCACCTTTCAAATAGTATTATAAAATATACATTTATAAAATGTATTTTAAAAGATAAAGTATTGAGACAGAGGGCATGAGCTAAAAGCTCATGGAAGATATGTATTTAAAAAACCGAGTCAATGGACCCAATAAGCATTTCTCAAAGGATATGCAATGACCAATAAGAATATGAAAAATGTTCAACATCACCAGAAGCCTGGAAACTAAACCCACAATGAGCTATCACCACATAGCCATGAGAACAGCTATTACCTAAAAGATGAAAAAGAAGTATTAATGAGGAAAAGAGAACACCTGTACACGGCTGATAGGAATGCAATTAGTGGCACCATTAAGATAAACAGTATGGAAGTTCTCAGAAAGCTACAACAGAACAACCACATGATCCAGAAATCCCAAAGGCAATAAACTCAGTATGGTGAACAGGTATCTGCTCTCTATGTTCATAGCCAAGGTATGCAATCATTGGACAAACGAGTAACAGATATGTGGTATAGCTAAAGAAGAATACTATCCAACCTTAAGAAGAGAAAAATTCAGCCTGGCATGGTAGCCTAGCAGCTAAAGTCCTCGCCTTGTACATTCCCAGATCCCATATGGCTGCTGGTTCTGATCCCAGAGGCCCTGCTTCCCATCCAGCTCCCTGCCTGTGGCCCAAAGCCTTGGGGCCTTGCACCTGCATGGGAAATCCAGAAGAAGTTCCTGACTCCTGGCTTCAGATCGTTGCAGCTCCAGCCGTTGCAGCTACTTTGGGAGTAAATCAATGGACGGAAGATCTTCCTGTCTCCCCTCCTCTCCATATATCTGACTTTCCAATAAAATAAATCTTTTTTTTAAAAATGGGCTGGGAGTTTGGAGATAACGAATGGTCCAATGATACAAAATTTCAGTTGGACAGAAGGAATGAGTTCAAGAGATCCAATGTATGAAGTGATAATTACAGTCACTAACAGATTACACACCTGAAAATTGCAAATATATTTTAAGTGTTCTCACCGCAAAACACACGTGAGATAATGCATGTTATTTGCTCAGCTCAGCCATTCTATAATGTATAGATATCAGAACATACCATAACACATGATAAACATAACTTCTTTATCAACTAAAATAAACTGAGCAAAATTCAATCATGCACACTCTGTCAAAAGACAGGTTTAACAGCAAAAACCTTTGCTTTTCAAAGTGTGATCAAAGCAATACTGTTACCAGGCAGACCATCAGACGCTACCCCAGACCTTCTGATTCCGAATCCTCATTTTTATCATGGGTTCCCTTGGATTCATGTGCAAAATGAGATCTGGCCTAGACAATCTCCTGCCACTCCAGTCCACATCTGTCTGTCCTACACTAAGTCCCACATGGTAAACCTGAGTTGGCCTCACTGGAACTCCAGTCTCTCAGGTCTGGCACCCAGCAGGCTGCGTTATCCAAAGAGCAGTGTGCACTGTCCACCTAAAACATGACTTCACAGCTGACCCACAGTTACCAAGCTAACTGGCTGGATTTAATCCAGAGCTCACCACTTTATATTAAAAACAGTGAATACATCAATAGCACAGGCCAGCTCCAGCCTGGAGCTCACTGCCATGGGTCAGTGCTTAGGCTCAGAATGCAGGGAGGAGAACGCTAGGGTAAATGGCCACAGAAGCAGTGACACGGAACACAATCCTATAAGTTGAAGTTGCCTTCCTTCAAGGGAAATTGCTGTGTTAATTTTGTGAAATATCCAACTGAATGAAAGTTTCTGTTACCCTGGATCTTCCTGGACATTAGCCATCCAGCTAGAAAATCCTGAACACCTGTTAATGACAACTTACCTGTGCACATCTTCCTAGTTCTTTCCGGCCCAGATACTGAAATATGTTGATTGCCAATTCATAAGGCAGTTGAACATCAAAGAAGGGCACATCATCCAATTCATTCTGAGAAGGAAAAAGAGAAATAAGCTTACAATTCTGATGTAAGACAGTAACTTCCACTTACAGACCCTTTCGATGACTGACAGACTCTCGGGTGGTATTAAGAGACATGAGCTATGTCGCAGCAGGGAGTCTCCTCACTATTTCACAAAACAGTTACTCACTCAGGACTTGCTAGCCACACCCAATTCCTCAGAAACCTACCCTCCTCCCGTCCTCTTAAGCCAGCCACAGAACACCACCCTACAACGCTTCAAAAAAAGGTGGCAACGGCACCACTTTACATACTGGGTGCATCACAGGAAGCTGGCCCCCTGGCTCTCAAAGCAAGGCAAGCAGCTGAGAAAGAAGCCTTGAAATCCAGGACGCCAGCCAGTCCCCAGGACAAGTGCCATGGCCCCCAACTCAGAGGGCACTGAATGTTTTCATCGGAGAAACACAGTGCTGTGAACACAAGCAGAAAGTAAACAGGCACTGCTCGTGAGGTGAACGGCACTGTCCCCGGGTGCTGGAGCGAGGCAGGGCCTACATGATGAACCTGAGGGAGCCAGCGCAAACAAAGCAGTAGTTCTTCAGTGTCATTTATTAATGCGGGGAAATCAGAGCTTGCCTGCCTTTGGATGGGCAATTAGAGATGAGGTAACAGGCTTTAGTTGAGAGATAAGGCTGTCAAGACGGTCTTGGTAGCACAAAGAAATAACGAGGGTGAAATAGAAAAAGCCAAACATGCATATGCACCCCTCTGCCTGCTCCCAACCCCACCTGCCAAGGCACACTTCGGGATCTGGTTCTACAAAGTGAGAGAAGGCTGTGCTCTTTGTACCAGCAGAACTCACTTAATAAAATTCATTTTTAATAAGCTTTGGCTGACATCAGTGACTGGTTGCAAGCAAATTGTTAATTCACCATGCAAACACAACAGTTTTATGTATTCCAAGGCTGCGGTCTCAGAATAGAAAATAGTCTCAGCATTTTTAAGGGACTCTGAATACTGATTCAGACCCTACTAAGATTCAGGGTAAAGATCTCCTCTGGAATCATATTTCTGTTCATCTAGGAGACTCGGGGCTAAAAGATAATCCAGAGCATATGAAAAGAACATGATATCCAACTGCAAAAACAGAGCAAGGCTACGCATCAGGGCCAAAACGGATCTCTAGAGGAAAAAAGGAGTGAGCATTGACAGGCCTCTTGGGCAAAGAAGGAACAGAATGTGAAATCAAGGGAGGAACATCGGCCATACAGAAAAAAACAGGAAAAAATCTGCAAGTGTAATGGGAAGGCAAAGGGGTCCTGGCCTAAAAAAATAATGGAAAGTTATTGGTCTAATGTCAGGCTAGTTCCCCTCCCTCGATTAATTGGCTTCCCACATCAACAAAGAGGCACCACCCTCCCTCAGCCCAGATCAACTTCAAACTCCACCAGAAGATGTAAAGAGGGCTGCATGCAAAGCAGATCATCACTTGTACCCTGGACCACCCCCGACCATGCCAAGTGGAGAGGCCTATTTTGTCCCCTTGGTAAAGACACAGAATGTTCCCTATCCTCACATAGAGGATAGGGGTTTCCAGAACAACAACAACAAAACCTACGCTCCTTTAACTGAAGTCTTGTTTAGCTTTTCACAGTCAGACATGCCAGGCCTCGCTTTCTCGCTTTCTTCAGTAGGTCCTATCCAGGACTCACTGTGTATCAGTTTCTGGTCTTGACACGACCCTGACAAGACACCAGACACCATCTGCACTGTGGAAATATTCTGAGGGCAAAAAAAGGCACATTTCTGGAAGCAGGATTTTTCCGTCTCATTCCTGTCCCACTGGCCTACTCTCCGTTCCCAATCTGGATGGTAGTGCCTCTGATGGGATCCCAAGACCACCACCTTCTCCCTGGTTCCTGTGGCCACAATCTGAGATGTGATACAGCATGGAGGCACACAGCAAAGCTACACAGGCATAAATCTGGTTCTGCCACCACACCAGCCCAGCCACCGGGCCAAGTGCACTGGCCAGCACTCCTGTCTGGGCTACTCCATTTGGGGGAGTAAACCAGCAGATGGAGGATCTTTCTGTCTCTCCTTCTCTGTGCAGATCTGCCTTTCATTTATTTAATAAAAACAGATCCTTAAGAAAAAAAAGACACCTGGGCCACACACCAGAGTGCCTGGATTCACAGGCTCTCTCCAGTCTCCCCTGCCAGTGCACATTCTGGGGGACAGCAGGCAATGGCTCAGGTTCTTCCTCTGCCACAGAGTTCTATTGAGTTCCTGGTTCCCCCACTTTGGCCTAGCTCAGCCACAGCTACAGCAGGTACACAGGAAATAAGTCAGCTCTAAAATGTGGCCACTATTTTAAACCACTGAACTGTAACTATGTAAGCACCAACATTACAGAGCCAAATTTATTTGAAGCCACTGTGCCCATACACTAGAGACAATGTTGGAGGACAGCACATTAAACCGCCACCTTTAGTGCAGCTTCAAATTCTGGCTGCTCCACTTCCGATTCAGCTCCATGCTCACGTGCCTGCAAAGGCAGTGGAAGATGTCACCCACGTGAGAGATGCAGATGAAGTTCCAGATTCCTGGCATCAGTTTGGTCCAGCACCAACTGTTGGCACCATTTGGGGAATGAACCAGCAGTCACACGATGCCTGTCTCCACCTCTTCCCCTCTAGGTCACACTACCTCATAAACAAATGTCTTTTTAAAAATTACAACTTGGGCCCGGTGGTGTAGCCTAGCGGCTAAAGTCCTCGCCTTGAAAGCGCTGGGATCCCATATGGCGCCGGTTCTAATCCCAGCAGCTCCACTTCCCATCCAGCTCCCTACTTGTGGCCTGGGAAAGCAGTCGAGGACAGCCCAAAACTTTGGGACCCTGCATATCCGTGTGGGATACCCAGAAGAAGTTCCTGGATCCTGGCTTCGGATCGGCATAGCATCGGCCATTGTGCTCACCTGGGGAGTGAATCATCAGACCAGACAGAAGATCTTCCTCTTTGTCTCTCCTCCTCTCTGTGTATCTGACTTTCCAACAACAACAAAAAAAATTACAACTCCATGAAATGGATCAGCATCCATCTTTCATGGATGTAGATAAAAAATCCCTGTTCTACAATTAGGGGAGAAATACCAACACAATAAAAGAAGGTAGCGAAGTTGTTTGGGGAGGGAGGGACGAGCTGTTACTCAGCTGCCCTCTTTGAGGTCAGAAAGACCCCTTCCCCATGGGGAAGTCGCCTGCCAGTGGCTCACTGAAGCAGGCTGCTGGGCCAACTTCTAGGCCCAGAGACAGAACAATTTCTGGTTCCAACGGCTGCTTCCTTGCTTCAACTCAGGTCCTCTCTGAAAACCAACCCCTAAACCACCCACATGCAGATCTGCACCTCAGAAGTCTGTTCTGTGGAAAACTTATTTGTTCCAAAGCTGCAGGCCTGGCACAGGAGTGCCACACGATGAACACCTTCCGGAGATTTCTATGCACAACTCGAGAGGCACCAGCCGAGGTAACTTACCCTTGCCTTTTCACTCAGTCAGGTACACTGGAATGCAGAAAAGTGAGATTAATACTACACAAACCTGCCAACAAGCTTGTGAATGTGCTCTCAGCAACACCTGACAAGAAGAGATTAAACACTAGGAGAATGTCTGAGCCTGGAACTGCCCACATCGGTCTTACAGGCCTGCCTAATTTGACATGAATGTGAAGCCACATGATAGGCCAAAGCTGCAGCCCACTAACCACACGAGTCTCATCTCCAGCACAGACTCGCGTTCCTAGAGCTCAAAGTGCAGGTAGAAAATGCTAGCTACTGCATGCAGAAAAATGCTTCCTCACATACAGGATGCTATCCTAACTCCCTGTTGGCAACAGGGAGCACACAGTCATCCAAAATGTCTTGCGTCACATTAACCCAACTTCTGTATGGACTTAAAAGTGGACAGCTTAGCATTTCAGAACAAAGATGGCCTGGAAAGAGAAGAAAAGACAGACACTGGAAATAACAGCATAGAAAAAGAAATCTTGGCCACACTACATAAATATCAATTTGACGACAAAAGTTTAGAGAATAACTTGGCAAGAATCCAGTAGGTCCTGTGCTGTGAGATGGGCCAAATTCAGACTAGAGAAGAACAATAAATTCAAAGTACTGCTATCCCTTCCAATGTGGGGGTGAGGATCTTTTTGATAACATCCAAGCCAGCTTTGACTTGCCAACGGCTCAGACACTGCTGCTGACTCGTGTCCTGTGTCACGCATCCATATCACTTGTGAGTTACACCAAAGCTGCCCAGCGTCTACCCTGCCTGCCCTGGGGGAGGGCCTCAAGAAGGCAGCTCCTTCTCAGGGGACACTTCTGCACACTAAGAGGTGAGACGCACAACCCTAAATCACAGGCAAACACAAAACTCAATCCATCCCCTCTTACCCAACCAAGGGGAAAACACAGAGGGGTCATGTTACTTGCTGATTTTAAGTCAGAGAATAGTAGATTTTCCCAATGTCTACTGGAATAACTCCAAAAATGCTGAGAGAAATGGCAAGCAGATCCCTCCCACGGGAGCAGACTGGTACTCCTGTGTGCTAATGTAAGACTAATTCTGTAAAAGGATTGGTTTTGTGCCTTCCTGTTGGAAATTTAATCTGTCTTCTCTTGTTGAAGAGAAGAAAGGGTAATTACTGAGAACCAAATCAGTAAAAAGTGAAGAAACTTGACTTGGGGTTTTTGTTCTCCATGGACATCTCCAGGGTAAACTCCAAGAATGAGTGCTCTCCACGGTGTTGTAAGAACTAAAAAAGCACCACTGGCTCAAGTAAGAGATTCAGAATAACATCTCCGTGACTGAAAGGAGACTGTTCTCTAACCTTATCTCAAAGTGCAAAGATAAACTTGTAAAGATAGTACAAAACTGCCAAGAGACAGCGCAGATCTCACTCAGAAGAGGTAAGTTCCAGTTTCACCTGCCTCTTCCATGAGAAGAAAACACTGGTTGGGAAAAATCTCAA